CCTCATGGTCTTTGTTTGTAAAACCAGGCTGTTGTTTCCAACCTTAAAAGGTCAATGATGCATGGCTAATGGATAGTCAGTGTCAGCTCCCTACCATTGCTTTCTCCTGAAAATGTGAGACTGGTAAGCTGAGGCAAAGCTCCAAAGCTGCAGATGTATGGATTTTGTACTTTACTAATTTTGGAGTTCTGAGTATAGATGCCTGCGCAGGCACCATGTTGCTGTGATACTTGACACAGTTGTGGGAGGCAGGTCTGAATGGCTCTCATTCAGAATATCAGACCTGTGCCTTATGGTGCAGCTCTTTAACCAATCAAGCCAAATCTCCCCATTTGTGAGTCCTTTTACATAATCATATTCCAGCTATAGCAAGACCAAGCTCCTTTGCTCTCAAGGTAGAAACAGTGAGGTCTTCAGGAGCCTTGCTCAGTTTTAAACCCACACCACTTCTCTTGCTTGAAGTTAGCACCATTTTATTAAGTTGGTAGTGAGCTGTAGCTACCCCACTTTCCCTTTGTTCATCTACTATCGATCTAAACTAATCACTTAATTAGCCCAGACAAGAAGTCTTCTGTGGTGTTAAATAACTCTAAAAACCTACTGGAGATGCTTGAGTGGCCCAATTGGATTTAACTTGCAGTTCATTACCTCTAGACTAAGATATGTTAAATGCAGGCTCTGAAAGCAGCTATGTTCTGCTTTGAGAACAAATTCTGTTTACTTGTAGGAAAAAATACCAATTAGCACTCTAAGGCACTGTTTTTCAAAGTGTGGGCCCTGACCCACCACGGTCAACACCCCCCGGGAACATATCGGACCCTGCTCCAAGATACTAATTGGAAACTTTGGAGCAGGGCCTTTAAGAAGCCCTCCTGGAGACAGTGATCAAGCACTGCTGTAGACTGGTTCTCAAGCTCAAGTTTTTGTGTACTTAGCTTCTGACAGAGAGAATTAAAAGAGGAAAGGAGGAAATAGATAAAAAAAGAGGATGGGCAGGAATGAAAATGGGAAAGGTGGGTGAATGAAACCTGAGTAACCAGATGGGGCGTCTGTTCATAAAGTATCCCCTTGAATCAGCCACATAGGCTTTTTGGGAATTTGGGAGTATATTTCAGATCCTTCCTTAGGAACAGAAGGGGAGAAGGAGATGTTCACCCCAGGTGGGTGACTGGACGGAGTGTGGCCCAGACGCTGCTCCTCAGTAGCCCTCTCTCATCTGCAGTTTCGTTTTCTGCGGTTTCAGTTAACCTGAGGTTGACTGAGGTCTGAAAAAACTATGAGAGAGAGAGAGACCCATGCAAATAACTTTTATCACAATATATTGTTATACATCCTCAATTTTATGATTGTTGTTAATCTCTTACTGTGCCTAATTTATACATTAAACGTCATCACATGTATGTATGTGTAGGGAAGAGCATGTGTAAGATTTGGTACTAGCTGCAGTTTCAGTCAACTACTAGGAGAAGGGAGGACCACAGTTTAGTCCCAATTATTCTTAGAGTGTCCAGGATGGACATACAGAGGGTACTTAGTAAATGTTCATTCAGTTGATCAAGATGGAACCTCCAGTGGTCTAAATTGAGAATCTGCAGCTAGCTTTATTCTGGAGAAAACAAGCACATTGGGTCTGACTGTAGAGGAAACCAGGAGTTAGCTCTGGCTACTATGCTCTCTTGTTCTGCCTTCTGGAAACAGCTAGCACAGGGAAAGAGCACCAGGCTTTCATACATGGACGTGCGTTCTTACTAATATGTGACCCTAACCAAGTCACAAGTGCTCTAAACTTCAGGTTCCTCATCCACAGAGGGAGGATGAGTTACATTTAGATGTTTTTGCGCAGCATTGTAGCCCAGGCACCCAGGACATAAAATACTTGGCACACAGTAGGTGTTGAATAAATATTTGTTCAATAAGTGAAAAGGTAGGAAGGAAAGAAGAATGATCATATGAAGCTTATATAAAGTAATGCTTTGAAAATGCCCAGCATAACATCTGGTAGATAGATGTTCTGTAAATAATATCTATCCTAGTGAGCATAAGGATGGAAATGATGATGATGAAACAGAATGGATTCAATAACCAATTTTCTAGCTGCCTAGAACTGGATTTATATTTCTATTCTTGCTTAAACTAGTCTGCTTCTTCCAACTCTCCTTTCCTCTGAAATCTGGGTCACTCCACTTTCTAGCTATACCTTAGGATCATCTCAGTTTTGGCTGCTGAGCCCAAAAGCCTTTGAGCTCAGCACATAGCAGGTGGTCAAGATGTTTTTAGAACTGAAATGAGCTATCTGGATGTGACTGTGCTTGTGGGTCACGGGTGCCATTCCTTCCTAGTAGGACTGACTCATTTTTAATCCCTATAACTGAGTAATTACATGTTAATTATCTCAAGTTGTTTTATTTCCAGGATAGGTAATCATTAACCTTTTGACTAGCACATTTGCCTCACAATCATAGAGAAAGCATTTTTAGTAACACCCTGCCCATGTGTTACTAGGTTACAGAAATGCCTTTAGTTGCCTTCATTTACATGATTAAAGGGACATTTTTATCTCAAGAATTTTGGGTAGCCCTTGCTTTTCCTTAACTACCCCCCTCATCTCTTTGAACATCAATAAAAAAGCCCAGCCCATCAAATCAATAGAAATTTGAGGAGAAAAATTGGGAATGGTAATTCTTAAATTTGCTGAGAATCCTTGGTTATCAGTTTTTCTCCAAGGAGCATACTTTTTGGAAAACAGACTTGAGCCCCAAATCTAGTCCCATACCCACCTATTATCAACTTTGTGTCTTTGAGCAAGTTACCTAACCTTTCTGAGTCTAGATTTCCCTATATTATATAGAGATCTGATTTGAATCAAATAAGATAAAAATCACATACAATGAACATACAACAAAACTTCAATATTCTTCTGTTTCCAGATTATTGGACAGGTTATACTCAACAGATAGTCCAGTGGGAGAAATAAGTACATGGCCAGACCTTGCTTTGAAGTTTGGATATAGGGATGCATGAGTGGGACCCCCGTACACACATCCAGTCAGCCACTCTTTGCCATCAGATCAGTGACTCTCTAGCTCTTCAGTGAAACAGAAGAATCTAGTATTGGTGCTCAAATATAAGTCAGAATTAGAAGGCTATTCCAGCTACATTTTTTCAACTAAACATTATTCTCCACTGCCTTTTGCATTTTCCCCATCAGACCAAACCCATTTTAGTAAATGGAATGAAAACTAGCTTTTTCCATGTTGTTATCAGTAGACCTTGTTAGTTCTCAAAACATCTGATAAGAGGCACTATACAACAGTCCTTGATGGGATATCATGCCTTTCAGTTAAACAGAGTCTCCTGGGGCTGGCATGGAAGTGGATTTTTGGGGCTGATCTTCTGTACCCACAACCTCACCATGGCAGAGTTATAGGAAGAGATTGAAATGAGGGAATTTAGTCAGTCATAAATAAGGTTCTTGGAGAGTTTTAACTGCATAGACAAATGGAAAATAAAGCTGTAAGCGGGCTTGCAGTATGACTCAACTAACTTATTTAGTGACAAAATGTCTATTCATTTCTTTGGTTGAAAATCAATGAGTGAAATGTGAAATTAACCCTGGAGGCAGAGGGCAGGCACTCTGGTGACATTCACTTAAAACCAAGATGGGATCAATATTTGATGTGTTGGGGATAAGAGGAATTGGCATGTTTAGGGCTCTTCTCTGGACCACAAGTCAGCAACCATCAAGTGGGGGAAATTGCCAGTACTAACCGTCTTCCTTTCCTGGCATTTATCTTCTGAACACATCCTATTCAGATTGGAGTGCTTTTTATCATCAGCTGAGATAGAAGGATCCAGACTCTGCTTGGGAATCAGAGGGCTTCCTGGTCTCAAGAAGGCATCCCTGATTGTTGTTAATAAATAGACCTTTAGTAGAGACACATAAGATTTTAAGTAAAATATGATTCAAGCATACTCAGTCCATTGGCTTATACTGGGTCAGAAACATTGAAAGGCCAAATGTCTTAAGCAGTGGGCTGGTTGGTTCATATCAAATCCCTGTAAATGATACCTGATTTTGGAAAATAATCTTTTTAGAATTGATTAAGGATATTAGATATGTTTAAGGCTTCTAGAGTATCATTCTGTATTATCCAAATGGACCCTAAATGCAATGATAAGTGTCCTTTTAAAAGACACTTTTATAAGGTATAAGGGGAGGGACAGGGAAAGAAGAGGAGAGATAGAGGTCGAGGTTGGAATGAAACCAAAGAACTCTGAGTTGGTGGTAGCTGCCAGGAGCTAGGAGAGAAACCCTTAGGGCCTTTGGAAGGAGCAAGGTCTAGCTGGATTTTGGACTTCTGGTCTTCAGTCTGTGAGAAGTCCTATTTCTGCTGACTTCAGCCACCCAGTGTGTGGCTATTTGGCATGGCAGTCACAGGAAACTAGCCTGCCATGTATTGGTGATGGTACTGGGGTCAGGAGTAGCCCTTAAATCAAAAGAGATGCTCAAGGAAGCTCTTTGTGAAAAATGAAAAATCTTGCTTGTGGTTCTTTGTAGCAGTACCATTGACGTATTTTCTCTATAAATCCCCCTTTTTAATATATTAGAGGAAAGAAAGAGCCAACTTCTGCCATCCTCTTATGGGTAAGGGGCTTGCTTTAGAAACCAATACTGAGAACTCTTCCATTTCCCATTCCTACTTTCCCACAACTCAGTTTGATCTGAGATGCACGATCACCTCATTACATTTATTAGCTTTCTGAAACTAATTTTCCCCTTATAAGCTCTTTCAGCGATCCCTCTTTGCAGAGGAGCTACGAGGAGGATATGAACAAGAAAAGGTTTCACATTTCTTATTCTATTATCTTACCTACCAAAATGGAAGCTAAATTTCTCAGCCTAAAAATCTTGTGTTTATAGGAAGCGTGGTAATTCTAAGAGCTTGACTTCTTCGGTTGTGCCTTTCAGAGGCCGCAAGATATCCAATTTTAAATTAGCCAACACATGAGATATTTTAACTACCATTTTATTTCCATCCAGACCAAGGGACAATTTAGAGAAGGTTCTATTCTAAGTACATAGCCAAGGATCTATGGAAGGGCTGTTGGTACCGTTGTTTTGAAGTTAGCCTGTCAGTCACCATGATTGAAACAAAACCCTGATGGCTTCCACAAGTGTAATAAAATGCTTCACAAAAGGTTGCAGAATTGTATGTTGTAATAAAGTCTGCTTAGCTTCATTTCCAATGCCGCAGAGACCTAGAGAACGAGGCCCATTTCCTTATGCCTTGGGATTTGTTTGAGTTACTTTCGTGCCTGGAAATGACAGAACATAAAAACAGACATTTACTTAAAATGGATAGCATTTTTTGAGTCATGGCAATAAACAAAATGTAAGTTTGTTTACTGATAATCTTTTTGATTGCCATTAACGTTTTATACAAAGCCATATAGTTGTGGGCAGATTATGTGAAATATGCAGGTTCCAACCCTGTTGATACCAGTATTCGCTGGGTCTCCAAATTGTGTATGGCCTCTGCCCACAGCCCATGAGGTCATCATGGTCTCCTAAGAATCTACTTTATGGACATAAGACTTCTATACAAACCAAGCCCCTTAGGTAAGCATAGCTTCTCTCAATTAGGGAAAAATAGCTTCCCCCAAAATGCCCATTATTACAATTACCTGGTAAGATTACTAAAAAACACAGATTTCTAGAGTCCCATTTTCCTCCCACCCCATTCTGATTTAACAGGTATAGAGGCCCAAGAACCAGTATGTTTAACAAGCTCTTCTTATGAGTCTGGGAATGATCATACTGGTGGGTAGCAGGCAGAGTCAGAAGTTAACTTCAGGATTTAGGTGAGGTCCAAAACAAGTAATTTCCACTCATAAAAGAGGGAGGGGTAGCCCTTTAACCTTATTTAGAATAAATCAGAAATGCATGTCATAGCCATGACACACACACTCCGTTTACCCCAAAGAAGACTTGGCTGGAACTTTCACTTCTGGGCCTTAATTATTGGTATCAGTCAAAGGAGTGTTGTCCGGAATAGGTCTAGCTGGGGGATAAGCATGGAGGATGCTGGACAGGGCATATGATTACAGAGAAAAGGAAATTTAATAGAAAGGGAAGCAGGATAAGAATTTTACAGGCTAGATTTCATAAAATGTGGGAAAATTAAAATAAAGGATGCTAGGAGATGTTTGGGGTAACAACCGTGGGTGAAAGATTTGAAGAAATTTTGAGAGATACTATTGAGAAGCACAAACAGACTTCCCTTTAGTGTTTTCAAAAGATTTCGGTGAATATTTACATTGCTTTTCACTTATTGTTTGCCATTTGTGGCTCTGAAAGCAACACAGGAGACACAGGCTTGGGAGACTGAGGAGCAAACACCCAGCTTCCTGCTGTATCTGCTGTGTTGTTCCAGGCTAGCCCTGCTAGCAGTCACTCATTTTTTTCTATAAATTCCTAACAAATTCAGAGAGCAAAAGACAGGCAGGTCATCTCTTTGGAATTATAGCTGGTTCCTTCTGGAATCTAGTATACAGAGAACTAAATCACGTCTACTTCAGCCTTCATATCTGAGCTTGCGATCTACTGTTCCCTCCTCCCTCCACTGATGTCTGTAGGTGAGGGGTAGAGAGAGGAGGAGAGTATGTACCCCTCAGCTTGCCCCCTGGAGAAGGGGACCTGCCTCTTTCCTACAGGATATTAGGATCATCCCTATTGTGCCAGCACCACCCATCTTGCCTGGACATCCAGGTCATCTCCCAATCATTCATCATTGCCTGTGTCCTTGAACAATTATTGACTTTGAGTCAGAGGCACCTGTGCAGGCCTGAAAATGGATGTGCTCTCTTTCCTCTGCCTCGCCTGTCCAAGGCAGATTTATATCCTAGTAGAAGTTTTTCTTAAGTTTTATTTTTGGTCTTTTGAACATCGTGGCTCCATGTTATTTCCCCTACCAGCCCTGAAATTTCTAAATCTCTGTGAATGCCTCTCCCCAGGTCTGAACAGGCTTTCCATCTGTCTGTGAACCATTGCTTTGGCATTTGAACTGTCTGCCTAGCTTTTCCAGGTTCTGTCTTCAGCAGTTTCTTTGTTCTAAGTAATCTGGAAGCAGATTTTGCTGTTTACTCCTGAGCGTGATCCTTGAGAACACCAGGGCCTGAGTCCAGCCTCATCATTTACTGTGTGTTGCTGGGCAATAGGATGGCGGAGAGAGCTGAGTGGGTTAATACACATAAAGCTCTTCCAGCATTGCTAGCACACTGTAAGTGCTCGCTAATATTAGCCCCTGTATTGTCACTATCATTGCTTATTCTTTGTCGCCAGGTGGCTCCTAGTTGATAATACGGAACCACGAATGCCAAAGTGAATGAAAGTCAATACTTTAGCTGCTCAGGAGTCAGCCTCACTAATGAGAAGGGTCATGTGGGCAACATACTAATCCTCCCACCTTCCGGTTGGAATTCATATTTGTTGAAGTGTGAAAAAAGATCTGAGGAGGGTGCAAAAAAGTGAAGGAAGCAAGGTGCTTCCAACACTTGCACAGGGGGAGGCCTGGCAGTAGATGGACAGGCGGGATTGAGCAGCCCAGACAAGGTGGAGGTTAGGGAGTCCAAGAACAGAGGGCAAGAGCTCAGGATGCCTGCAGTTTGATGATTCCCATGACTGTGTCTTCCAAACATTCCTATGTTCCTGCTAAATGCAGTGGCAGAAGGACAGTTACTATCCCTCTTCCCTGCGAGGCCGGACTCAAGATAACATGAAGCTCACTCTCTAGGATTTGCTGAGTGGAGTAGAGATTGAGGCAGAATGAATGCGCCCTTGTGCTAGACAGTAGTGAAATTGTTGGAGGGGAACTTGGACCTTGGAAGGAAAATAAAAATGTCAGATGGAGAAGTTTAAACAGGGTTCAAGTAAAGTTTGCTGCATGATGGGGACTGTAATCTTATCCATCTCTTCCTGGAATCTTCAGGGAGTCTTTGGAGTTCATTTGCATCTTGCTGTCATGATTTAATGGGTACAGGGTGGGAGTAGAAGCACCAAAGCATTGCGGGGGTGAACTAAACCAGGCTGACTTTTCCTTGAACATAAAGGCGTCATCAAGATCCTTAAAGTCTTTCTCCACAAAGAATGGGGGCAGTTCCCTGTTTTAAACAGATTCAACTCTCCTCTGCACTCATCAAGGCAATGCCTTTCACTAAGTGTGTACGTGAAGGAGGCATCTACCTCTTACCCCATTCCTGATGCGCTCTAATGGGCGCAGAGGAAAAGGCCCTCTTCTGCTTTGAAGCTAAGAAAACAGGTCATTGTTTCTGTCTTCTGTAGGGCTGAGGTCATAGAAACTCAACAGGCCTCCCTTCAGTTTCTTTAAGATAATGTTTCTCAGCTTGATGGGTCATGGAATCACCTGGCAGGTCTAAAAATTTCCTTGCCTCCATTGCCCCCAGAGCTTTCACTCTAAATGGTTCTAGAGTGTGGTCTGGGCCTCTGGAGGGGAGTCACTGAGTATGATGGTGAGTAACTCCAAGCCCGTCTCCTTCCTGATCCAGTTCCAAAGTCTGCTCCCAATAAAATACTCTAAGTGCTCCAAAGAAACTCACTTGTCTTCTGTGGCAAATATTTAACTTCTGAAAGGTAATCAGGCTTCTGTGCTCTTAGCAGAACCACAGATGCAATAACTATGAATAGGGCAGCTATTTGTCCTTGAAAGCCAGTGCTTCTTGGCCATGTGGTTGGATAAAATAACCGTTTTTACATGCATACTAGGAGTGACACAAAAATGGTTTTATAGCTATGTAAGCACACTCCCCAACAAAACCAAGTCTACGGGCGCCAACAACAAAAACTCTTCTTTAACAACTCATCTTTTAAAAGCAACTCTTAGTTCCCAGCAAGCTAGTGATCCAGGCAGACAGCCATGGGAAGCCATTCTGCTCACACCAAAAACAAGGTGGGCAATTTTCTCAGGGCAGACCCCTCTGACCTTTGCTTTTCAGCTTTTTCTTAATAAACTGGTCTCAGAAATTGGACTGCAAAAGTGCTGATGGCAATCTCATAGTAAGTGGCTAAAGGTGAAGCTGGGAGAGAAATGACAAGGATCAGAGAAGCACTCTGGTATCTCAGAGGCCATGCAATTACACTCACATCTAGAGATAGTGTGGCCAGTGGTCAGAAACCCAGGATGGGTTTCCGGGAGGATGGGGATTTGCAGGGCAAATTCCCCTGCAAATTTTATAACTCCAAACTATTTCTCTGGCATGTCATGCAACTTTCTGTGATGAGAAAATGTTAACTCCCTATTAAATATCATCCCTTTCCTAATCCTTCGTGTTGGTGACCTCCAAAGTGCTTCCGGGCACCATGTGGGAGGGAAGAGACAGACCTCAGGTTCCACGGCCAGGTCGGGGCTCCTGGGGTGGCCTTTATGGAGTGACCATAGCCTCTGTATTGTCAGTTTTCTCTTTGTAGGGATAAATCAAATGCTAAGAACAGCAAACACGCAAGGAAGATGACGCCAAAGCTTGTAGCTGGGAGTGATTTACAGCTACCAGGCAGGGCTTAGCAACTCCTTGATCCCACACCATAGTCTGGGCAAATGAAACTACAAAGGCGTTGGGGTTTGGTGGTTGGGAGTGGGTGGCAGAACAGAGCCAACTGAGCCCAAGGAAACTCAGGCTACTCCTTGGGCAGTTGTAGGTGTCCACCTGAAGCAGGGAGGCGGCTGCCACCCATGCTCCCCTCACCTCCCTGTGTCTGTATCTAGCAAAGCCTCTCCCTAAAAAGCTTTCTCCTTCTGATAGAGCTTATGAAGAACAGGCTTTATTTGTTTCTAAATCTTCAGCTGATATTACTTTTCCCCGAGACTCAGTCAAAATGAAAAAGGATTACTTTATATTTACTTGCATCTTACATGAGAGAAACTAATTTTGAGACAGAAAGTCCCTACGAGGTGAAACATTTTCCCTTCCTTCAGAGTCTCCAGCAGGGCAAAGGAAAAACTAAAAGACATACATGCTTTGTCCTTTACTTTGGCTGACAGCTTCTTCTTATCATGCTTTTGAGGGTGACCTTCCTCCAGCATATTCCTTCGCTCTCATTGTGCACCCCTGGTATAAGAGAATTTCAGAGCCAAGCATGGAGCAGGCTACCTCTGATAATTAATGGCTCTGAGAGTTTGCTGAGTGTGTTATTTAATTAATGCCACTTGTGTCTGAAGTGTGTACAACTCTGTAGTTGAATAAAAGGCGTATTTGCTGAGGGATTATAGACAAATACTCAAGGATAGTCACATTGAGAATTT